GGAGAGGTCACTCCAGTAAATAACACGGTGAGGGGCAGTTTACCGGTCAAAAAATCCCGCTAGATGGACGTAGGAGCCGGGTACCTGCGGCTTCCTCTCGACGGTGGGAGAAGTCTTCGCACTTCATTGGACAGCTACCACCCGCCCAAGCTGGACAACCCCCAGCCAATAAGGTGTTGTCCCGTCCAAGTTCCGCTTGTCTCAATGGGTGCATGAGGCTGAGGGCTGATCCCGAAAAGCGGACCGATAATCAACGCACCAGCGAACAACACAATTAATCGAAATTCAAAGGCCTTGTGTGACAGGTCTCTAGAAGCTCCCATACAGGTGTTCCGTTCACGCTCCCGCGTTGCATTTACGCCCCACTGCCTTGTGGGTCAGACTTTTAAGTCGAAGGCTCCGGTTAGGGTTCCCAAAGAGAAACCCCTTCGTCGGTCTGGACTGCCGCGAAGTATGCTGTGCCCCAAAAGTCTTGGGTACCCATTTGGAAAACCGTCTTTCCCATCTGTCAAGCAATCCAAATTTCAGTCAAAACGGCGAACTCTGGCGCACGATCAAAGCAAAATCGATGGATCTCCTCAACCTCGGTTGCTCTGATGGACGCTCGCAAAGCCATTCCCTCGGATTCAAGATATGACAAAGCGCACAAATCCCTTAAACACCAGCTCATCAAGAGCCTGAGGAATGACCGTCAGAAGTGGTGGGTAGGAAAGTGTAGATTGATGAAGGCTGCGGCTATTGGTAATAGTCGCAAACTTTTTCGTTTAATTAGGAGTACATGACCAAGGAAAGCAGGCGTAAGTAAGGTAATTAAGGAGTCTGACGGCACACTGATTCAAATTCAGGAACGTCGTCTTGAACGTTGGGCAGAACATTTTAAGACACAGTTCAGCTGGTCCCCTTCGACACAAGACTTTTCCCCACTCGGTCCAACTGTGCAAATAGTGCCAGTTGACATCAGTCCTCCATCTGAAATGGAGGTTACCCGGAAAATAAGTTACCTCGAAC